GCCGGTCCAGGTCGCGGCCGGCGCAGGCGAGGGTGGCGGTCGCCTGGACGCCGCTGTTGTCGATTTCCTCCTGGACGGCCCACTGGTCCTCGCGGCTGACCCTCACCGCGGCGATCCTCACCCCTGCCGCCGCCTTGATTCTGTGGGTGGGAAGGGGGCACACGTGAACCCTTCTTTCGAAACAGGGGGCAAAAGCGTGTCACGGGGGCAGAGGCCCCCCTCCTCCGAGGGGCGTGGGGGGCCCGGGCAGTGAGAGGCTTCCCTTCGAGAACTAAGTGTTTCTGTGACTGTCGCAGGAGCCCAGCGTTTGGAATATTTTTTCCCATTGATTTTTAGAGAGCGTGGGAGGGACGGAGGGAAAGAGAGAAACATCGACGTGAGAGAGACGCCCACGGGCCAGGGGGGCAGCTCTCACGCCCCCAAGAACGCCTGTGCGCCAGGCGACGCCAACCGGGCCTGTGCTCCGAGGCTGTGACCCCCGGGTCAGGCCGGGACCCAGGGGTGGTCCCAGAACACTCCTCGGAGAACGGAGTTTGGGACACGCGCCCGACGCCCACGCCCCGTGGAAAACAGCCATGCCGGGGGCGCCCGGCGTTCGACACGGGTCCCAGGACAAGCCCAGCCGGGCCCGGGAGCACCTCGGGGTGTGGTCCCAGGAAACCGTGAAGGTGCCTCGAATGTGCGCCCTCCCAGCAAACCGTTTTCTCTGCGGTAAGTGAACCGAGGAGAGAGAGAGAGACACGCGTGTGCATCGCCCGCTGGGCACCCGGGGGCTGGCGGCTTCGACGGCAGGGTCTGCAGGGAGCTGGCTCCGGACCAGGGCTTGGCTGGGAGAGACCCCAGGGCAGGGCCGAGCCTGAGAGGAGCCAGCGGCCACGCGGGACCCCAATCCCGGTGCCGTGGGAAGGCGAGGCCAGCGGCCGGAGTCAGGCCTCCCAGGGCGAGACGCGCGCTCCCCTGACCGCGACGCTCTCACTGCTGCAGGCACAGCCCTGAGCCCCACGTGGCTTCTCCGTCGCCTGAGTTGCCTTCAGGATCCAAAGCAGAGAGAGCTGCTCCTTTCGTCCACGACCAGCTACAATCAACTCCAAAAATATGTCCCTTCGCCACGAAACGGTCTCTTTATAGCCACTCGAGGCATCGCTTGGCACCGGATTCGGGGAGCAAATAACAAGGCGAGGCCCGGGCACGTCTCCTCCCGCGAGAGCCCGGCGCCAGCCCCGGTCGTTGAGCGCCGGCCACCTGTTTAAATGAGCCCGCCGGCCGCGATCCCGGGTTAGGTTCCGAGCCCAGACCGAGCTTCCCACCGGGAGCCACAGCAAGATGGATGAGCGAAACCCACGCAGGCCCCACCCGCGGCTTTTCTTCTGTATCCTGGCCCGACCATTACTCCTTGCCGCGCGCTCCTGGTCGCAGTCCCACATCTGACCTGATTTCCATAACGGCGGATTTCCATACAGATGGCAGATAAATAAGGCCGAGCGGCGCGGGGGCCCCGATGCCGGGGAATCCCATTAGGGGCTTTACGGGCGCTCGCGGCGGAGACGCCGGGGCTGAGCTATGGGCCTCGGCCGCGCAATCCCAGCCCCGCTGCAAAGCGAAATTTAACTCTGGACGTTTTTCCGCAACGTGAACCTCCCAAAACTGAGTTTCTCGCTGCGCGTGGCGTTGGAAACATCCATCCCTTCTCGCATCTCATTTCAGCCAGGATGGTCTCTTTTTTTCTCTCCATTTTCTCTCTTTTTTTTTTGGTCAGTCCTCACTGAGGATATTTTTTTCATTGATTTTTAGAAAGAGAGGGAGGGAG